CAGCACATCTCCACTTTATCCTGTTCTCTGCTGTCTCATCGTTTCCTAACATGGTCTCCTGCATGTCACTTTCGGATCCATTGCTCAACTGGTCGTTTCCAATCGGGGTTCCACTCGATTGATGGCCTAGCGCTCAGTGTAACCTAATGGTTTCCACAGAGTGTATTTGAACCATCTCCACTTTTTTCTGCATTTTTGTTGACCACTAGGTTCTCAGTTGGTTTGTCCCCACCGCTTCTTGTTGCTAATTCCTCCTGGTCGTTTGATTTTCAATACAGACCGAAGACAGATGCTGTACTTGAAATGGTGCTTTCTAGATAAGTGAAGGAAGGAACTGACCTCTTCCAAACATCTTCCGTTGATAGTGTTTGATGTTTTTCTGATGTTGTTATTGTTCGGTTATTTGCATCACCTCTATCTTCTCTGTCTGCTTCCTCTTGAGTTTGTTGGTTTTCATCTGTAAGTCATCGCGTTTGTGTAACATTAAGCATGAGTAATCCGTGAAGTCTACATCTTCGAGAGTTTTCTTATCGGTCGTCCAGCGTATTCCGGTGTTCTAGCTCTCCATATATGGTATGCCTCACAATCCAGTTCACTACAATTTTGGATATCATGAAGTGATATCAGTTAGAGAACCATTGAAAACCAGGGAGTACTGGACAGCTGTTTTGTGAATCGTCGGGGTTATATGATTCCCGAACTAGGATGAAACAGCTGTCCAGTACTCCCTAGTTTTCAATGTTTCTCTAACTGATATCAATCAGTGATCAACTCGTCAGAAAAAATCTAATCCATACAAACCAACTATTGAAAATATCATCAGTGTTAGCAGAGAGCCTACTTATTGATATGAGGAGTTGGAAAATCAGAGTGATATTAACCAACTGTGCTTCAGTAGCACAGCGGTAGAATGCTCGCCGACCACGCCTCATGTGGTCCAGGATTCGATCCCCGGCCGACGCACTCCGAAACTTCTCTAAGTCAGTAATAAGGCTTCTAAAGAGGAAAGGTTAGGCATGAGGCTAGAGCAACTCCATCCCGTAAAAATAAACACTATTGCTATCGAAACTTCAAGCTTCTAGCTAGAAGCTCTGTGTTCCACTGGGAACGTAAAGGAATAAAACAGAAATTAACCAACTACTCTTGTCAGTTAGTAGTATATTCCAGCTTGAAAAATATTCAAGTGTTTACTTCATAATTTAAATCACTTAGTCCAATAAACGTAAGCCTCATGAAAACTGTTTAATTTCATGAAAAATTCATGTAAATTCATGAGAATAATTAGCAGACAAATAGACTAATTTCTTTTTACTCAAATATGCACTTCAAAGAAAATTATGAGGTGTACTAACCAAAAGTACAATGACTTTGTTTTTAGTAGTCTAACCTTATGATGTGCATCATGTGGGCTTTTCAGTTATATCAAGAGACGATTAAAATAAATTCCACCATAAATCTTTTTCTAAAAAGCAACATTATCATTTTAGACAATAATATGTCTAGTATAGGGGCAGATTTTTGTCATTGTGATTTATGTTATGCTGTTAAGTTAGAAGTAGTCAAATGACTTTAAATGTTGGTCTGAGTAGATTAAGGTGGAGGTTGTAAGCTGAAACCCTGGGATAATTCGATATTTTGTTAATTTTTAAGCAAATATCTCGTCTAACCACTCTCTTCATTAAGAAGTTAAGACAGTCTGAAAGGTGTCACTCAACCTCTACTTTTACACTTTGTTAACTCTCAAATCTCACCTATTTTACCTGACTGCTCCCCACGATTACTCTTTCTTGGACTACTACTACTACTACTACTACTACTACTACTACTACCACTACTACTCAAAAACGATTTTGTCATACTGTGAAGAGTATTAAAGCTTGTTAGTAGGTCAAGTTGTGTGTCACCAGTAAGTTAGCTCGTTACCACTGTAGACGATAGACACCTAAACTCATGTGAGAAATGGTCTAAATCCATATTGTCTGACTCTCAGGACCTTCCCCTTGCTGCGTCTCATTAGGTAGGACTAGAAGTCATTGTAGAAGATCATTTACCCGTAAAACGGTGTGCGTTGGTGGCACAGTGGTTAGGACGCTCTCCGATCATGCACATGGTCTGTGCTTCGATCTCCGACCACAGACGCACTCCTTTACGTTGATAAGCCAGAATTAAAGCTGGTAAAGAGGAAAGGTTAGTCATGAGGCTAGCAACTCCATCCTGTAAAAATAAACACTGCTACAGAGACTTCAAACCTCTAGCTTGAAGCCCTATGTTCCACTGGGAACCTGAAGCAATGAAAAGAAAAGAAGAAAAAGATAACGGTGTGCAGAAACACAGCGATACGGTATTTGGCCTACCCATGTTCTATACGATAGAGATACTGTTAGGCGTGAAGCCTACGACTTACTATGTAGTTAGCTAAATAATTGGCTCTTTTATTCCTTCCTCTTTGTCAGTCTATGGTGACACTATTTCAATTAACTTATAGTTTTAGCTATTAACATTACTGCATTACTGTTTTACGCATTTTGTACATTTTTGTCAATGCAAATACCAAAACTCTACTATTATCAATCCTGGTTACGTATATTTTGTCGAGTAAATCAGACGGACTATTGTACCGAATTTTGAAAATTCCACACTGTATCAAAAAATACTGTTTTGGAATAAAGCAAATCATTATTTACTTACAGGGTTTCATAATGAGCTGATTTTAGTTAGATAATCATTGGAAAGCCTGTGAGTACTGGACAGCTGTTTCGTCCCAGTTCGAGACTCTTCATCGGTACTCACCCACCAGGGGATTTACCTGATTGTTTTCCAGTGGTTTTCTAACCGATAGCAGCTCATGATGAAATCCTGTAACCAATCAATCAAATTCCTACAAACGAATACTTGAACATCAAATCATTATTATTATGAGACACTGGTAACCAATAATTGGGGAGTGTTCGTGGCGTAGCTTAAATTCCTACTCTGTGTTGTAGATGCATTCACTCCCAGATCCATTAAACTCTCATTGTTCTCTATTTAAACATTCCCTCCATCGTAAATTTCAATAAATTCTAGCTTCTTTGCGTTTTGTTCTCTTTTTGCCTACCTTTATGGATGATTTTATACAGTTAGAATACTTAGAACTGCTGCCTTTTAGTACGAAGTTCCGGCTTGATTCATTTAATTGTTTTTTTTAAGATAGAAAGGTGTAGTATTTATGCGGGTTTGGCACATTTCTGGTTAAAATGTGAATCAATCAATCTAATTCACTTAAACAATTTCATTGTTTTATTATGATGATGTAATAAAATTGTGATTTTATTACACATTTGTGTGGTGATCATAAAGAATACTTTTTTATACTTAAAGTAAAAAGAGTTTATGAGTATTTAAATCTAATAGTAATTTTATTATTATTGAGGAGAACTGAACTGATTCGTCTATTGATAATTTTATGACATTTAATGATTTCCAACTCATGACTCGTGTTGATAAGATATCTGGCAAGCGTTTGCTCCTTTAAGACGTAAGCTTTTTGGTATATGTTCAGAAAATCGGGGATGTACCCTTCTTTTTGTTCTCTCAATGTAACTGCTACTGCAGAAACATGTGAATGTTGATACAAAACTGGAGTTAACATGATAAGGGTTTATGTTGACTTTTCATTTCATCAGAGGGCATATTGTCCGATAAACAGACATGTACCGAAAAGCCTACTTCTCAAAAAAGGAGCAAACGGTTTCAGCAATGCCATTGTCAGGCATATCTCCTTGATATCTCTCTTCACCAACGTTCCATTGATGGAAAGAAGATCCATCTACAAAAAGCCTACATGGTAGGGACAGTTTATTGACTTTCAAAGCTGTGTGCCTCTAAGCAGGAAGAGAAACCTAACATACTCTCTTTCCTTGAGGATCTGGAAGATTTGCACTGAAGAGTCAATCAACGAGGAATTATTCAAATTCATAAAGGGGGATAAATTTATGAAATAATTTAATTATTATTTTCGCACTGAGTAGTCACCAGGGTACAAACAATATACTTACTGGTAGCCTGCTTAAAACTCAAGTTTTCTTCGTTGTTTGTGCCTTTTTCTTATGACTCAATATGGGAATATTTCGTTCATTGCTTAGAATTTGCCTGGGCTACCAAAAACCTCCTTTATTATATTACATGTAGATTTTTTGTTCATCCAATATGTTTTAATCTATTGAAATATGACCTTCAGTGGTGTAGTTTACTCCCGTGAGTATTTCAGATGCTTAAAGTCTGCTGGTTCTCAAGTTTCTACTAAATTTGGAAAAAGGTATGCTCATGGGTGGCCACGCATCTCAATACATAAGATAACTGTCTCAGAGATTATCGGTACAAACTGAAAAATAAAACTAAATACTAACCCAACTAGCTAACTTCCTGGCCGACACACTCCTAAACCTGGCTAAGCAAGCAGTAAGCTCTATAAAGAGAGGAGTTGAGTGCGAGGCTAGCAACGCGACCCCGTGAAAATAAAACCACTGATTCCGGAACTTCGAAGCTCTAGCTAACTTGAAGCCCTATGTTCCAATGGGAATGTAATAGAATAAAATAAATAATAAATACCTACTCTCTTCAACCATTCCGTTATATCTCTGGGTTTCAAAAATTACTGCCGTACTTCTTTTAACTAGCTTTCGACCAGATGTCTTGCATTTCTCAAAGCAGACAAATAAGAAACACTATAGGGGTTTGGTTTGCACTTCAAGTCAAACAAAATTATATCACGAGATCTACTGTCAGTAAGTAACCTACTTGAATATCCCAAACTAATGTCTACTGGAAGACTCATACCTTAGTCACGTGGTGCTACAGTCCATAACATTTCTACTGAGCTATGTGAGATGACGATTAACCTGTTGTAGAATCCTAGTCGGAATACTAACTGGTCAATGGAGAGTAGTAAATGTCACTTTATCGTCTTCATCTTATTTTAACTGTCCAGTAATCAATAAATATCTGTATTACATTTCTAGGCACCTGATGTTCTTGCATCTCAAGGATTGTTGACACTGAATTCAAATTATCTTCAAGATCTTGTCCGCCGTGATACATTAAATTGTCAAGAATCTGAAGTATTTGCAGCTGTTGGACGTTGGGCTGGAGCTGAATGCTGTCGACTGGGTATAAGAGATGTTGTTTGCAATCGTGTACAAGTTGCAGCTAATATTCTACCGTTAATCAGATTTCCAACTATGACATTGAGTGATTTCGCTGAAAATGTTGCTTATTCAGGATATCTGTCATTGGAAATGGTAAGTTGTTAAATAATCTAAATAGATTCTATAGAAAGCTGGAGATATCAGTTTTTATTCTTATTGATATATTACTGAAATGTTACTTTCTATGTGTGACTTTTCTCTCCGCAGCTTTTTACTCCGTAGTACAAGACATGGTCAGTGCCGTGAATGCCATAGCCAAATAGTACTTAATGGATTTATTTCTCCAGTAATCGGCATCAGTTAAGGAACCACTGAAAAGCAAGTGACAGCCGACATCTTTCTCTTCTTACCAAGTGTAGGTCTGCAGGGATTCGATTGGTTACAGGATCTATCATGTACTGACATCAGCCAGAGAATCACTGGGAAACCACTAAGGAGTGCTGGACAGCAACTATTTCACCCTAGTTTGAGGCTCTTCATCAGTACTCACCCACCGGGATTCGAACCCATGACATCCTGGATACGAGGCGGGCTCGTAGACCATTCAGCCACTGTGGTCCGATCCACTGATCCATGAATTCCAACTTCTACTGATTCGTGATATATATATATATATAAATATATAGCGCAACCGCTAGCCAGTGTCGTAAGTGACTAACTACCCTCCTCATCTTAGTTTGGTAGTCTTAAATGGTTCACAACGATGAATCTACCACGAAAAGTCCTTAAGTGATCCGAAAAAGATGTTAAGTAGTCGCTGGCTTTCAAAGATTCCATATCTATTGTTGTTTTTTAACTAGATCTATGTTAAAATCAACAAAATCTCGAAAGACCTAAACTTTCCGATGTTTACCACAACTAATTTTCACTGGTGTGAAAGATTTCAAGGTTGAAATTATGAATCGCCCTAATGGAATGCAATGTAAGCCCGAAGATAATGAGATAACTAACATGAGTACGAAGATCCACCGATCTGTTTTTCACTTCATTGAATTATTTTCATGAGTTAGTACGTAGGAATTTGATTTATTTCATGACTGATCACTCATCGGCATGGATTAGTGAACTGTTGAAAACCAGGGAGTATCGCAAAGTTGTTCCTTGCAAGTTGGATATTCTTGAGCAGTATGCACCCACAAGGGTTCGAACCCAGGGCATTCGGCTGACTAGACAAGCTCGTACATCATTTAACCACCGGGCTCTTTTCTAATTGCCATTAAGTTCTAACTTTCACCAATTTGTCTTTTTTGCTCAACCACCAGGCAATGTCACCAGCGAGTATTTGTCCCCACATCTAACACGGTGCATCTCACTGGACCTCTAGGCAACTTTGTCCTGAAGAAATAAAGATTTGGAAAACACCGTGTTCTGTCCACTCTTTTGCTGATTTGTTTTTGATTGTTTTCTTATTCTGTAACATTACAAAGTAGCAATAGGTTTGCTTGTCTTTTCACCCATAATAGTGAAAAGGTAAATTTCGCCATGAATTAACCCCAGCATGAGAACCACTGTCTCTTTCTTCAGTTTGAAAACTTCATGATCATATTCTGAGATGATCATCTAATTCTTAAAGCACTCCGATTGCCTTACTTTGATTGGATTATCCATCTTAATCCTCTTTATTTTTGATTTTATTCCTTTACGTCTCCAATGGAACATAGGGCTTCAAGCTACGGACTTGAAGATTCGGTAGCAGTGGTGTTTAATTTTACGGGATGGGGTTGCTAGCCTCATACTCAACCTTTCCTCTTAACCAACCTTATTACTGGCTTATCGAGGTAAAGGAGTGCGTCGACCGGGGATCGAACCCCGGACCACATGAGGCGTTTTCGGCGAGCATTATACCGCTGCGTCACCGATGCACCTTAACCTTCTTATTATTATTATTGTTCCCTTGGGTTCCTAGTGGAACATAGGGCTTCAACTGCACGTCTCCACTTGCTTCTGTCTTCTGCTGTTCTTTTCACTTGCGTCCATGTTATTCCATACTGTTTCATCTCCTCCTCACACGATCTCCTCCATGTCACCCTTGCACCGACTAACCACTCGCCGCTTCCCTTTCAGGTTCCACTCGAGCTATGGCCTGATGCGTGATGTCACCCAACGGCCTCCTCAGCGAGTGTCCAATCCATCTCCACTTCCTCCTGCATATTTGTTGGGCGATTGGTTCCTGTTTCGTCTGTTCCCATAGCTTCTTGTTTGTGATTCTTTCTGGCCATCTGATCTTCAGTATGGAGCGAAGACAGTTGTTGATAAAGGTCTGCAACCTGTTGAAAATATTCTTGGTGACCCGCCAAGTTTCTGATCCGTAAAGCAAAATTGACTTGACGTTTGTATTGAAAATCCGAATTTTGTTGTTGATGCTGAGTGACGGATATTTCCAGATTGGTTTCAGGTTGATGAATGTGTTTCTCGCCTTCCCGATTCTCGATTTCACATCCTCGTCCGTTCCTCCTGTGGTTGAGACAATGCTCCCCAGATAAGTGAATGAAGTAATCTCTTTCAAATCCCTCCCGTTGATGGTGATTGGCACTGGATGTTGCTGCTGCTGTTGTTGTTGTTGTTGGTTGGTTATTTTCATAACCTCCGACTTGTCTATGTTCACCTGCAGTCCTGTCTTCACTGGCTGCTTCTTCGACCAGTTTGTCGGTTTTTGCTTGTAAGTCTTCGATTTTGTGTGACATCAAACATAAATCATCCGCATAATCCAGGTCTTCAAGGTTCTTCACGTCGGTCCAGGATATCCCTGTCTTCTCGTTTCCCACTGTCTGACGCATGATCCAGTCCACCACAATTAGGAATATCATTGGTGATAATAAGCACCCTTGTCTGACTCCTGTGTTTACTCCAAAAGCTTCGCTGAGTTTTCCGTTGTGGATCACTTGACATGTGCCGTTGTCGTACAGCTGTTGAATAAGGTTGATGAATATTTGGGGTACGCCGTAGTACTTCAGTAGTTTCCAAATTACTTCGCGGTCAACGCTGTCGAAGGCCTTCTCAAAGTCTATGAAGTTGAGGTAGAGATTTGATTGCCATTCCATGCTTTGTTCGATGATAATGCGTAGAGTTGCAATTTGGTCAGAACATGATTTGCCTTTCCTGAATCCAGCTTGTTCTGGTCGGAGTTCCGTATCCAGCGCGTCCTTGATTCTCTCCAGGATGATGCGACTCAGGATTTTACTTGGCGTCGACAGGAGCATGATTCCTCGCCAGTTCTTGCAGAGTCCCAGGTCGCCCTTCTTTGGTAGTTTCACCAGGTAACCTTTCCTCCAGTCAGTAGGCACCTTTCCCTCTTTCCAGATCTTTTGTAATAATGGAGTCAGCATATCTGCCGTCGTTTCTGGGTCCGCTTTCAGTGCTTCCGGGGGTATTCCATCTGGTCCAGCTGCTTTTCCAGCTTTCAGAAGCTTGATTGTATTCGTGACTTCAGTTTTCGTTGGAGGATTGGTGTCAACTTGCAGTTGTGTACGTGCTGTTGTTGGTATTACTGGACGGGTTGTAGGTGGTGGTCGGTTCAAGAGTCCTTTGAAGTGGTCCGCCCATTGTTTAATTTGTCTTTCTTCTTTGGTAATTGGGTTCCCTTGGCTGTCTTTTATAGGTTTCACTTGTGCCTTAACCTTCTTAGTTTCAACGAATTAGCAGTTGATACTAGTCATATTAAAATTAGAATAGCTGTAATGAAAAGGTTAACTCGTGAAATAGTGTACAGGATTTATAGCTTGGATGGATGTCTTTTGTGTTTTTGCAACCTCTGAGCTAAAGAGTTTATTTTTGCGAAGCTCTTATTGTTCTCATAGAGTATGGTTTGCGAATTCTACACTGATGAAATATTTGTCTAATCCTGGTGACCCAGCTACATGACAATGTCCAATTGTTTTGTTATTGATCTTGTTGTTGACTTGATATTTGATCTTTTTGAGGTAATAAAATTTACCGAAATCCATATATGCCTATTAATTGCCAGTTGATACCAAATGGATACCGAACATCTTGGAATTCTCTGGTTAGCTTGTTTACTGACAGATTTTACTATTTATGTAGTAATCTGAAACCAACCGTATTCTAATTTGTTGTTTCTTTTTCTGAATATTATTTATTTTATGCGTCATTCACTAAATAAACAGTCTACACAAATAAATTTATTAGAATTCATTTGATTTCTGAATAGTAATAATCGGCTTCGTTTAATCACACATAAATATTTCACTTCTCTGTCCACAGGGATGCCTACTATCCCCATTTTTATTCAATTTCATCATAGATGTGGTAATAGAATTAATCCTAACTGACTTCAGAGACTCAGGGATTGACTTGCTATCATCAGGAAATACTAGTCTCGTTGACTTAGAATATGCAGATGATGTACTCCTTTTGGGTGAAGACTCTGAGTCTTCTGAGCACCTTGAGGAGAAGCTATCTGCTAATGTTTGGCATGCGACTGCCTCCCTCCAAATGTAAGATGATGCTACACGACTGGACCACATTGAATCCTAGCTTAGAAATAGGAAGTGAAGTGGTAGAGAGTGTTGACCACTTCATTTATTTGGGAAGTTGTATCAGGCAGCCCCAGAGAGTTGATCGCTGACGAAATTTCAGAATGGATAAAGAAAGCTAGTTTCGCATATGCCAGTTTACGCCGTCTTTGGCTTAATAGACGTGATATCCGGCCAGCTATCGACCAAAGCACGTGTGTACTTCTCAGCAGTCCGCTCCGTCCTCCTTCATGGCTGGCTGTGAGACATGGCCATTGAAAGTAGTGTACATGAAAAGGCTAGATGTCTTTGACCATATGTGCCTGTATTTTATCTCCCGTGTGAAGTGATATAATAGGGTGAGTAAAATTGAGGTTAGGCATAGGTCGAGTAGTCGATAAGGAGGGGAAATCAATAGACGATGATGTGAAGTTACATCGATTGAGATGGTTAAGACATCTGTTATACATGCATTTCTAGTCATCGCCTTTCTCGACGGACGATGTTAGCTGACATAAGATGGATCAGGCTGGAAAAGATCTAGTGGGGATCAAACTACAACATGGCTTCATCAGTCATTGAAATCCACAACAGTTAGTTGAAGCCAGATAAGTAGGGAGG